CCAGCCAATATACCGATGCCAATACCTGCCGCAAACGACGGGACTTTGGATCCAGTGTGCAAGTTGCCCAAGGAAGTTGGTCCATGTCGCGCAGCCGTTCGCCGATGGACCTATGACCTCTCGAAGGGTCAATGTGTTGAATTCACCTACGGCGGATGCTTAGGAAATGCCAACAACTTCAAGACCAAGGAGGCCTGTGAAGCGAAGTGTGGAGGTAAGATGTTGCTCACGGAATACTCTCAGCGCGTTTATCAGTGTATGTCATTTAGGCACTTCGTTGCATTGGCGTTGCCGTATTAGCAAGCACATAATTATAAACTGGTTCCTTATTATGCTCATCTGGACATTGGCATCACCGACTAGGCGACTTCGAGTGCACCTTTGGATGACTGACCACATCGCTTCGAGCTGTGGATAAACGTATGCCTTATGCGTGGACTGTGCACTCACACCTACCATACGAGCCCCTTCTGCAGCTAGCTCCGGAGATGTATGCATCCATGGGTAGGAGTCGAACCACACTCACATCTGTTGTTTATTCATTTTACTGAAGGTCAATCGGAGTCGAAGGACGATTCGATACCCGAGTCCGGAGCTGATGTAGTCGATACCACAGTGTGCCAACTGCCACTCGAACAAGGCAACTGCCGAGCAAGCATTCAGCGATGGGGATTCGATGCTAGTCGAGGACGATGCGTGCAATTCATCTACGGTGGTTGTGGTGGCAACGCCAACAACTTCGAATCGAAGGAAGCATGTGAGCAGCGATGCATCGGTACGTAGTGTTTTGGTGTTTCCAGCATTTAGGACTGCACCTTTGGCTACCTTAGCACATGCCTCCGTCCCTCTTGAAGTCATGCTTCCTCTTTGCTCTCTCGTTGCATACCTAGTTCCACATTGCCTCCAGTCTTGTGGAATTGCCGACAGTCGTGTCGATGAACTGGTATAAGTGGTAATGGCGGGAATGTGTTTAAGTCATATATGGACCAATGGGCTGCATTTTACAGTGACAGACATTGAACAGAATGTTGGGGTTAAATACATCTAGTTCAGATTACCCAACCTATCCCACCGAATGAAACGAATGATCGGTTCGTCTGACTGTTAGCCGTCACGTGGCTGATTCTAAAGTTGACACTGGGACGTCGTTACTGAAACACAATCTAATCCAACTGCCTACACAACTGTCCCCTGGAACGTCATAACTGGTGCACAAACAGCGAAGGAAATGGCAACTTTTGAAAGAACAACGTAGTGACATTTGGCCAAGTAATGATGTCGTTGCAATGCAACGCATTGCTGTCTACACATCAGTTCATGAAATGTGTGCGTTGGTTTCGAGATGGTTGTTTTACACTTGAGTGCCTTCTTCCCACACCAGCCAATATACCAATGCCAATACCGGTCGCTAACGACGAGACCTTGGACCCAGTGTGCAAGTTACCCAAGGACGTCGGTCCCTGCCGTGCAGCCGTTCGTCGATGGACCTATGACCTCTCGAATGGTCAATGTGTTGAATTCACCTACGGTGGATGCAGAGGAAATGCGAACAACTTCGAGACCAAGGAGGCATGCGAAGCGAAGTGTGGAGGTAAGATATTACCTACGCAAAACCGTGACCACGGTCTCGCGCACCCACCTTGGTGACACATCATAGCTGGGTCGTGTTTTGGTGCTGTTGTCTCCCCGGCAGTTTTATCGTCAAACCACTTTCACTGTTCAGGGTTACCATTGTTACAAACTCAGAATAGGTTTGAATGGTAACTCCCAGTTCACTAATTCATTTTATGCAATGTTGGACGCACATAGTTCTGTGGGGCACTGCTGGCAACAATAGTGACGAGAACTAACAGCGAGAAATGTCAAAGGTGGGACAGACATTCTCGGGGGTTGGCATCACTGACTAGGCGAATTCGAGTGCATCTTCTGAGGACCGACCAGATCGCTTCGAGCTGTGCATTAACGTATGCGCTACTCACGGATTGTGCACTCACACCTACCATATGCGCGCTTTTGCAGTTTGGTGTGGAGGTGTAGGCATCGTGTTGATTCCTGTTTAATAACCCAGTCGTCGCAGCTTCCAACACACGTCCCCCATTTTAAACGGAGTGTTTGCCAGTCACGTGAGGCCGCTTGTTCATTAACCCATTTGCATGTACCACCACCACCACC